CGTGGGTAATTTTAAATTTAAAGTCAAATTATAATATTGTATTCCTTCATTAGTAAATAAACACTGAGTCGCAAAAAACCAAACTAAAACATAGTCACCCTTAAGAAAACATATGTATCATAAAGATAAGATGAAGTGGTAAGCAAAGCTCGCCTCATAATGAAAACATGTTTATTTAAAAAAACACGTTGAAAAGACGTCAATCTCTTCAGGCAAGGAGCTGTTAAGCTGTATTGGAAGGAGGGCATTGGGGACTGCTTCACACTGTGTTTCTAAGAATGTTTATTATTTTAAGAATCTTCAAGAACATTTATTATTTTGAAGAATTATTAGTAGGATTCCCAATGAGGAAAAATATATCTCATGAGAGATGAGCCAGTCATCAGTTTGTCAATCAGACCTACCTGATTAAACCTGACTCCCCTTAGACCCAGTTCAGTGTCTGGTCCAAGGTTGGCACCAGGGTGTGGTGTTTAGATGCTGATGGGGGGTAATGTGAAATGTGTACTTAAAACGCGGCAAAATGTCCTGAAGACAATGTACTGACAAATTGTTGGGAGGGAGGGAAGGAGGCACAAAGGGAGATAGGGAGAGAAGGCAACCAAAATATTATTATGATAAAATGTTAAAGATAAAAACAAGAATCCTAAAGGCAGCGGCAGCAGCAGTATTACATGTACAATAGCAATCACAACTAATACTCGTGATGAATGTCTATGAGCAAACCCAGTTAAATTTGGTGAAGATCCTCTTAGACATCCTACCAAAGTTGTTCTTCCCAAGCTTATGTGTAAATAAGATTGAGACTTGAGCGATTAATCTGCTCAAGAATGTTCTGCTAGCATCCTCACCCCCTCCCCTTTGGAGGTAGTGGGGAGGTGTTCTATCAGAGGGCAGGTATAGTTCACTCTGTCGTAGAGCTCCAACTAGAACTGCTAGGAAGCCACAGTTAGAAGCTTTGTCTAGTGCAGCCCCCCCCCAATTAATACAAGTAAGTGGCTTAATTACCCATGATCACTGGTAACAGTTGCGAAGTAGAATATTGGCGGGATGGTGCTCTGTGCTTCTAACTGTTGGGTTATAGCAGGTGAGCAAGATTCACAGCTGCCAACCCACACAAGACTGAAGTACAGTGTAAATATTAACAGGACAAATGCTCACAAATAGATCTGGGTCTTTTTATAGAACTCATCAAAGACTCACAGCGATTGCTTGGGGGAGAGATGCTTTGGGTAAAAATATAAAGTGACAGCGAGTTCTTATATGTGCTGATTGCTTAATGTGCTGAGCATTTCGGGATAGGCAAGGTGTTGAGCCAGAAGCAGCGAGACACTAAGTGGTGAGACAGGAAACAGAGAGGAGAAGACAGAGACAAAGGAAATGAGCATCCTCCTTTTGCTGAATGGGCGAACAGAGTAGCTGATCTATGGGGATCGAAGCCCTGAGAGGTGGGTAGGGACTGAGGGGGGAGGGCATGTCAGAAATCTCAGTGTTCAGGAGGCTGAGGCAGGCACATTTAGAGTTCAAGGACAGCCTGAGCTACATGATCCTGGAAAGAAAGTGGGGCCCAAAACGGGAAGAAAGATGTATGCAATTTGGAAAAATCAAATTTATATGTCTAATCAAAATTAAATGTCTGAATGTGGGGGAAAAATGGAGCTCATAATAATGTTCAAAAAGAGCAGACAGCCAGACTGGAGAGAGGTGGAGAGCATAGATACTGGAAATGGAGAGTGAGCTGGCGAGGTGAGAGAACTTGCTAGAAGCTTATTCCTTAGAAGAGAGTCAATAGAAGAGAGTCAGACTAGCCCAAGATGGCTAGGTTTTAGGAAGAACCCTCTGGTCACGGGATAAAGGACAGCAAAGAGGAATGGGAAAGTCAAATTCGACACACCACTTCAAAGGCAAGCCATGAAGCTGACCAAGCACTCACAGGCTCGCCAGGACCAGGTTCAGAGAGCCAGCACTACAGATGCCACAGCACTCTGCGAAGTAAGCAGTCCTGAGTAACTGGCTTCACCCTGGGGCTGGGAAGACCGTTAGCTGTTTTACTTTGGTCGTCTTCCATTCATTCCCTCTGGGAACATACACCACACTCAATAAAACACATGAATTTGTCTCAGCACATCTGAAGATGGGAAGCTATGGCCATCTCTCCAGAATGCCTAGCACCATCTAAAGAGCCCAGACCCAAGGAAAGGAGAGGTAACACCAAGAACTCAGCATCTTTCCAGTGCTCAGCTTCCGCTGGCAGGTCGAACCCACATAACGCTGGTTGCTGGCACCCTGGGGCCCTCCCAGCTGCCCAGCTGTAATGAATGTCATACAGGACAGAGAGCGCATATCTTAGCACCTCATAGATAATGACATCTGACAAGCAGATTCTGAAGACACTGAAAATCGCTGCCATTTAAGTGTTATGCGCTGTGTGTGCGGCACATGAAGGGAAGTTTAAAGGAAGGAAAATGACGGGAAATGCGTAGCCATGGTGCTACCCGGGTCTGTGGTTTATATACTGCAGCTGCTCCCCAGTTTCCAACCTAGGACCTGGGCATTCAAGGAAACAGTGTGAATGTCTTATCCTGTGACTATGAGATCTGTTGTTTTTTTTTTCCCTTGACACTGTAAAGACAGTTGAACTAGAAAGATATGCATTGAAAGAGAAATTCTCCAATGATAAACTTTACCATTTTACATACAAATTTATGTTGTAGGTGAGGTATACTCTGTTTTAAGTCTCACAGATTCTGTGCATTGATAACTATGGGAAATTAGTCGAAGGGAACAAATAGAACTCCTCTTCCTGCTTATTTGAATGTGTTTACATTAATAAGTTGGGTTTTTTTCTCTTTCTCTTTACTTCCTTTAATGTTTCCTCAAAATGCTCATAGATTTAGACTGCACTGTTCACACGCTGAAGTTCTAGCTCATTAGAAACATATCCAGTGGGCGGGGCACAGGGGTGCACACCTGTAAAACTCAGGAGACGGAAGCAGCAAATCGTAAGTTCCATCTTGGGCTGTTATATAGTGAGTTCAAAACCAATCTGGGCCACAAGGTTAGACCTTGTCTTAATGAATGAATGAGTGAGTGAATGAAATAATGTGATAGCTTCTCCCTTCCGCTATGATGGCATAAACTCAAATCTCAGCCATATCAACTATTAAGATTATACTGAACCTCAGAACACCAGTTGGTGTTCCTGACTACATCAGGTACTGTTTGGGCAGCATGAAAGGAATGGTAAGAAGCCGCCTGTGCTTCTGGGGAGGGGACACTCAATATTAACAGCATCATCCTTGCTCCGCCTTTAGTTAAAGGGAAAGGAACTGGTTCCAGGTAGTTTTGTGATGAAGGAAGAGAATCTTTGGGGTAACTCCAACCCCACTCATTTAGAAAGCTTCCTCGGAATCCGGTCCTCGAACCCCCAAAGGGTCCCTTTCTGATTGTTTCTTAGCACCTATCATAGGCCAGAGATAGATTCATTGTCGAATACCATCTTGCAATACTTGAAGGGTTTTCACACCTCTAAAAATACCCCCAAAAGGCAATACAGCTGTTCATATGAAACTCGTTCAGAATGGACTGCAGAAACTGTCTTCTAAACGGTACGAACCACTTCACAACGTGGTGCCCACATGAATTAACAGGATGTCATTTCTTAGAGCGAAGTAGTACCAAAGACTAAGTTTAGAATCCGAAGAAGTACAAATGGATTTTCATTTGTTTGTTTGTGTGAATTAAAATGTAGAAAGTAACTCATATTTTCACAAAGCTCTGACCCTTACTTTACCCTTGCACTCCCCCCAATGATCATAGCAGATTTGTGGCTGGGTTACAGAGTGGTTCATAGCAGCTCTATCACCTTGTGGCTGGGTTACAGAATGGTCAACTTTTCAGTTAGATTTGTGGATTGTTCTGAAGCATTTCCTGTTCTAAATCCTCTCATAAAGTCCATTTCATGGGTGTCAGTAGGGTTCACGTGTATATGACCTGGAGGTTCAAATTATTATTTGGGCCAGGATCTAAAAACATCAAAACAAAACAACAAACACACCTAAGTTTTTTTTCTTATATTTTACTATGTATTGGTAGCAAAAAGAGAGAAAGAAAGAAAGAAAGAAAGAAAGAAAGAAAGAAAGAAAGAAAGAAAGAAAGAAA